CAATTCCAATCCCAATTCCAATGCCAATTTCAAATTCCATTTCCAAATTCCATTTCCCAAATCCAAATCCAAATCCAAATCCAAATCCCAATCGCAATTCCAATTCCAAATCCCAATCCCAATCCCAATTCCAATTCCAATCCCAATCCCAATTCCAATTCCAATCCCAATCCCAATCCCAATCCCAAATCCAAATCCAAATCCAAATCAAATCCCAAATCCCAAATCCAAATCCAAATCCAAATCCCAATCCCAATCCCAAATCCAAATCCAAATCCCAATCCCAATTCCAATCCCAATTCCAATGCCAATTTCAAATTCCATTTCCAAATTCCATTTCCCAAATCCAAATCCAAATCCCAATTCCAAATTCCATTTCCAAATTCAAAATTCAATTTTAAATTCCAATTGCAAACTTAAAATGAAAACATTCTGAATTCAACATCCTTTTGTAGACAGTATGATATATTAAGGTCCTGCTAAGTGAGATAAATACATGTTATGACTTTAACAATAATGTGACCAACCAGCATTCACAGTTAAATCAAACATTGTAGGCGTGAGAAAAAGCAGATATTTCACATTTGTTTGGGTCAGGAGTTAACCGAGTGATGCATGTCGGTCAAACGTCCTGAACAATGATACTAATACCTTTCTCGGCACGTGCGCCCCAGTCTGTGATTCCAGGAGCTTATCATTACTCCACCAGAGTTTTTCCTTCCACAAGAAAATATGTGCGTTGATGAGTGTCTCTGTGTGACTCTGCGACGCCTCCGCCTTTCTCCACACGGCAGCAACTTAATCCCTAACCAGCGGAGACTGTCCCCAGGCTCTCCATTCACACCACTCACCCCAGGCCCCTCTCCAACACATGACCTTTGACCTCGCCGGGGGGAAATTATGATGAACGGAGGAAGAAGACGAGGAAGAGGAGCAGAGGAGGGGTTTACAGATAACCGCTTATCACATCAACTCTCTGTGGTGGTTTGCTTATGGTGTTTCAATGGAGTTCTTCATATCTACATGTTGCGTATTTGTATATTTTAACAATTACTAGCTGCATTTTCCCTTGAATTCTTGAAGAAAAATGTCAACGGTGAATCTAAAAAAATGGCAGAAAACTCAGTAAATCAGCCATTGCTGTCTCGTGCATGAACCTGTGCAAGCTTTGGATGGTAGTGGTTTTGATGAAAGTGTTTTAAATAGTAATGTTTCAGAGAAAATTATTTGGGAAGTACTGAGCATATGACTGGATACATAAGACACAAGTTGTGTGAGTGTGTAAATGATGTTTTGGTATAGCTTTTCTGTTAATAAACATTCCCATTTTGCACCAAAGAAAACGTATTTTTCTTCAAGAATTCAAGGTGAATAATAGATGTACAATGTTCATTTTAACGATGAGGTATCCCTTTACATTGCAGAAGAAGCAGAAGAAGAAGAGCAACCACAACAACAGAAAAGTAGAACACAAATAGAAAAATAAGAAGTAGTACTAACAAAAGAAAGGACAATACAAAAACAAGAGATTTGTTGATAGCCAAAACCAATATTTCAAGGATTCAAGGCTTTTATTGTCATGTGTGCATAGCTACAGTGTTGCTATGACAATGACATTCTTAGGTCACAGGCTCCTCCAACAGTGCAACAACAATAAAACTGATAAAATATTGCAAGTAAATAAAATACAGAATATGATATTGGTTAAAAAAAGAGTAAGAATAAGGTAAAGGTCAAATGAGTCGGCCCACAGAAGATGAGGAAGACGTCAGACAACCCCAGAAGAGAAGGAGCACACACAAAGACACTTGTATGCTTTATAAGTGGAGTATAGTTCCAGTGTCAGGAGATGCCCAGCAGTGACTGACATCCTGCTTCACCTCCAGTGCCCTGCTCTCCCCCTCAGCCTCCGGGCTCTGGGCCGTGGAGGCGGGGGTTGGGGGAGGATTAGAGGGGATGCTGGTGTGCGGGCCGGGCAGCCAGCAGCGCCGTGAGCCGGTGTCGCCAGAGCGATCTGCCAGGTACGCCACGGAGGATTAAAGCCACTAGTGCTGGCACTGAGAGAGGGGCGACGTGAGGCGACGTGTCCCACGCTGCGTCCGCCTCTCAGGCAGCAGCGTGGAGCCGGGGAGCCATGGGAAAACATGCTGCTGGTTGTTATGTTGGGTATCAAGACAGCAGCTTGGGGAAATACCCTTATGGGGTTAGGGAAATATCTGAAATTCTCACTGCAAAATAAAAAAAGATTGCAGAAAGGACACAGTTTTATATCACGTTGGTTCGAATTGTGGAGGTTTTGGTTTGTGCTGCTTTAAATAATCATGTTATTGAGTTGTTGAGCCGTTTTAGAAGCCTTTTTTCAACCTGTTTCACTATAGCACCATCTGCTGCCATGTGTTCCTGAAGTGAACAACATCCTCATCATATAAAGCAGGGGTGTCAAACTCAAGGCCCAGGGGCCAAATCTGGCCCGTGACTTCATTTTCTGTGGCCCCACAAGAGCTTGCAAATAATATAATATGCTTATTATACGGTTACATGCCGATTTACAGAAGCACGTTGCCCATAAACTACATGTCCCACAATGCATCTCAAATTTGACTTTTTTCTCAGAATATTTTCAAAATGTAATTTCTTTCTCAAAATGTCACTTTTCTTTTTAAATCATTTTGTGACATTCTCACTGAAGAGACTTGCAATTGTTTGCCCTAGACTTCTGCTTTCAGACGTAGTTAATTAGGAAGTTATTACCCTATCCGATAATCATCCAATGCAGAGGCAATAATGTAATATAATACATTATTTTATATGTATTTTTATATAGCCTTATATATAAAACTGGCTCTTTGAGTGCAACCATGATGCTAATGTGGCCCGAGATGAAATTGAGTTTGACACCCCTGATATAAAGTGTAGGAAAACCTTTGTAGTATTTGCTGACATGAATTGTAAAGGTAATAAGAAAGTTGTTTTAATTTGATAATGCACTTATATGATTCTATTATTATTATGGCATGATTGACCTGACCTGCAAAACTACAAATATTTACAATTAAACTCTCCATTTAATCTTTAAGATGTATATACTTGCTTTCTAAAATGATCTAAGGTTTTTATAAAGAGCTGAATTTAGATTTGTTTGAGATTTACTTGAAAAAATCTTTAACTCTCCTCGTTCATTTATTTAGTTTCTCATTAAAAAGTATGCCATTTAAGAATGCGTTCCCATCCAATAAACACATCCCCTTATTGATACAGACTTAGATCCATGTTGATTTGGCTTTACTGTAACAACCAATGAAGCATAATGTGGCCCATATGCCCGTGTAAAAGAGCTCTTTTCTCTCATTAGCACACAACACTTGAATTAAATGTTTGTTTCTGTAAAAAACAAGTTACGTTTTAACATTTATAGGAGAAGGAAAATCAATTAAATGTTAAAATGAGTAAAACTTTGTGAGGGATTTCTGCATCTCAACTTGATGTGTTTTCCAGACTTCCTTGTGTGTAACCTCTGCCTTTACCACTCTGTGTGCTGATTGGTTCATGATGACATCACCTCTGCAGGGTTTCACCATGACAACCAGTGTGTGCACTATTATTGGATGTCCCTCTTCAGACTGTTTGGGGACATCACAAGGAGACTCACACCTGTTTAAGTGTTCAGTGAGGCGGGTTTAAGAGGAAACAAGAGGTCCTTATTCTCCTGAGGAGAGTCACAGAGCTTGGACACACAATGATGCTGTTTCAAAAAACTTTAGGACGTATTATCTGACTTTATTCTTTTAGAGATAAGTTTACATTTAAGATATAGCTCTATAATGACAATAAAACACACTGAAAAGGTCATCCTGTATTCAATGAAGTCTTACCCCAACACAAGAGGGCAGCGTTGCTCTGCATTAAAACACTTTACATGTCTGGTAAACATTTTGACTTGTTAAATTATCACTCATGTTGAAACTCTTGAATAAGTTGTATTTAATGGCAATTGTTTCATCTTAAAACCAGGTTTTTAAATGTCATTATGGCAACATGTTTGGCTTTATTATTTGTGTTTCAGTCTGTCATTTCCCAAGACTTTGCCAATAACATTTGTTTTGATTTTGTTCCTTCTTCTTATAATACAAACTGTATTGAATTCTGCATGAAATTTGATATTTTAGTCACTTTTCTTTTCGGTCATTCTTACCAACTTGACTTTGCTACTCGGGTCCCTCCAGATCACATGTGTCAAACTCAAGGCCCGGGGGCCAAATCAGGCCCTTGGTGGATTTAATTTCGGCCCGCAGGATAATTTCTAATTACTATTAGATCTGGCCCGCCGGTATATTGCACGCACACCTTCACTCAATCCTGAGGGTCTCCTCAGCTCAGAGCCTGACCCCAAACATTGATGAACTTGCACCCAAGATGAGATGCCAAGTATCTGGCTTGAACTAGCATCACAGAGCAAACTGAGTTTCAATGGATGTTTCCTTTTGCACTTTGTTTCTTGAGACAACAGGGCATGTTTGTTTTTTTCTTTGAGGGAAATAGTTTTTTTGAAGCTGTTGTTGGCCTGTGGAAAAATGTAATCATAAGAAATGACTCCGGAAAAGTTGCAGATAGAGCCATAAGAAATGAATGCAACTGATTATTTAATGTTTAATGTTGTTTTTACTGCATAGGCAATCATTTAAGCTTTGTTAGTTCCAGGTTTAATATGTGCAATGAGTTCATTTCAATAAGTTCTGCTATAAACATTGAACCAGTCCGGCCCTCGACTAGTACCTATTTTAACATGTTGGCCCACTGTGTATTTGAGTTTGACACCCCTGCTCCAGACTTCACCCTGCTTTCTCTTCATTTTAGAGGTATGCATATGTTCTACTTTTTCTATGTATATTTAAGTGTATGTTAGTCTCTTCTTTAATGCTTAAACCAAAGTAAATGTTTGAATAAACACCTTAAAATAAGTAAGATGGGGAATCACATTTGATATTTTGAAGCAAACATGATGAGGAGAAAAACATTTATTGTATGTATCTGTACACAGTTATGTGATAGTTCCTTTAAATGTGTAATATTATTTACTTATAACATTTATAAAGCTTTTATCTACATGCAACAAAAGCAACATTCACAAATACACAAGAACATGAAAAATAAAGTTCGTGCTGTTGCTGTAATTCCTCTATCAAACACCAGGGGGCAGAGCAGAGCTGCCATTTCTGTCCACAGTGAGTCCTGTCAGTTTATGGATAGACTACAAAGAGCCTACTTTTGCAGAGTTTTTTCTCTTGTTAAAAAAGTTTTGTTGTTTATTTTTCTCAATTTTTTACGTCAGGTCAGGATGGGGTTATTGTATACGGAAGAGGATTAGGGCCACATGTGAACACAAATTAGAAATCTGACCAAAAGTGAATTTATTTTGAGACAAAAAGTCGGAATTCCAATAATTGTTTTAGTTCTGAAGAAAACTCAAGAAGAAAATGTACTTTTGGTCAGATTTCAAATTTGTTTTCACAAGTGGCCCTTATCCTCTTCCGTACTCGTAGGACGTGGGATTGATTGGTTTATAAATCTATGTCTTTATTCCACACAATTATTTGGATCACATCCACCTTATGTTCAAAACATACAAGCTCTGCGGGGTTGTAAAAAAACAAAACACTTTTGTAACACATTGACATTAAATGTGAACTGGATTCCACTCTTTCTTATTCCTTGCATCTTCTGCTGCCTCCAATAAAACTTGAATTAGTTCCTTCATATAAAAAAGCTCAAAACAATATATCAAATGTAGAATTCTTGGTCGTCTTCTTCTTCTATGGTGTCCGCCCCTTGAAGTGGTACGCTGATAACGCTGCAGCTGTCCGACTGGTTAATGGAAACATCGCTGAGGGAGGGGGAAGCGCTCGTGTTGGGGCTGTAGACACACGACCCAAACATGGTGTAGGGGGTTGTTTTGGAGGTGAAGCTCTGGGGGGTCCGGCCCAGTGTCGCCGCCCTGTAGGCGTCCTCCGATATGCCCGGAGAGAGGGATGGTCTGATGTTTTCAGGCGGTGCCGATAGTGGCCGAGTTTGTGGCAGGCTGGATTTAATATACGCAGACACTACGGTGAGATCCACTCCTCCATCTGGGTTTACTTGGTCCCCCGTGTCCACATCCGTCTCCTCCGCCCCGACTAAAGCGTCCAGATTGAGGCGGAAAGAGGGGATGAGGGAGGAGCTCCGGTTGAGGGAGTGGGGGCTTGGTGAGGGTCCAGGTGAGGAGCAGGCGGAGCGAGAGCTGGCTGAGCCCACGTTAGGGAGAGAGAACAGGGATCCGGAGCGCTGGTCTCTCCATTGGGACCTCCAGGACTCCGGGTGGTGCTCCTCGGGCTCCTCGCAGGCCACAGGGTGGGGGGTCTGGTGGGCTCTGGGTCGGGGTGCAGAGCGATGGTGGTGGTGCCGGCGGTTCCTGTAGGAGCTGCGGGCGAAGGTGGATGGAGCCGAGGCGGATTCAGTGACGGAGGAGGAGATGTAGTAGGGGTCCTGCTGGTGGTGGAAGTGAGCACCTTGGACCTGAGAAGAAAAGGGAAAGACAACAAATGAGAATTTATATAACGCAATATCACAAATAAGCTTCATGGGGGGCTTTACACACAATCTGTACAGCATATGAAAACCTTTATGTTTATACCCTTGCAGCAGATAGGAAAAACATTATTGTATATTATAGATCAGGGCTTTTCAAAGGCTTAGATTGCATTCGATCAGACAAAGTTCCACACCCTATCCTCAATGTTGCTGTTTAAAGGGGACATGCTTTTTGGGACGTCCCCTTTCCTATAGTATGTTCTATAGGTTTTAGTGCATGTAAATGGTCTGCAAAGGCTGAAATCCCAAAGTTCCTCCAGCATGAAACGCCTCCATTGGACTCCTTTGTTTACTTCTGTAACATAGTGACATCACTGTGTAACATTTGCGCTTCTATGGGCTAGTACTCAAACCCATTGTACATGATAGGCTAAGGGGCGGGACATCTCGAATCTTCCTGATTCTTCCCAATACAAAGCTGGAGGAAACAGTTGGTCTGAAGTATTCTTAAGGTGTGCGCAATGTCATTTTATAAAAAGACATAAAAGGTGGGAAATGCTGAATGTAAGGTTTTGTGTGACTTGCCTCATCAGTGGAGGATGCATTGGCCATTAACCTACAGGCAGATTTTGTTGTTTGATACTAGTGTTAGGGAATGATTTGCTTAGGTATTCAACCTTCGACACAGTTCATCATTGTCTCCTCTCACTGTCTCTTTTCCCATGGCATAGGTCTACGGCCTTGGGTATTGCTGCTATCTCTCTTTAGGAGGAGCAGCTTGGGCGCATTGTTGCCAGTCTTTGACAGAGCACAAGCCGCGGGTAGTTTACTGTTCAGGGACGTAGGTTCCCTGGCGCACATCCTTTCCGATGGACGAGAGCTCTAGTTAGATTCAGGGTCCATAATTGTTTAGTCTCACTGATAAAGAATGTTGATTATTACACTCCGAACTAGTTAAAACCTCGAGCTGCAGAAAGAGTTCTTCAGAATTGGTTTGGTAACCGCTGTGTCAACTCGTGACACAACACCTGTCTTGTCAATTCTCCGGCCGTAACTCCAAATAAACCGTCAGTGTTTGCCATCAAAGCTCCAGCTCTCCTCGTGTCTCTCTGAGTCCTGTTTCCAATTGCTTCAGAAGTTTCCCCCACACCTAGGACACTATAAGGTGTGTGGCGCAGTGGATGGAGCCTTGGTGTTGGGATCAGGGGGTCACAGGTTCAAACCCCACTGCAGCCAGCATGTCGTTGTGTCCCTGAGACACTTCACCCCAAATTGCTCCTGTGGGGATTGTCCATAGTATTGAGTATGTAAGTCGCTTTGGATAAAAGCGTCTAACAAGTAAGATGTAATGTAATGTATAAAACATATTTCGCCTGAGCTTGAAATTTGACCTTTGCAATCGCAGTTTAATAAGGACATTTTAGCCAAGTATTGTATGTTTTGAGAGGGGTCTTTAGCAGTGTAAGACATTACAGCAACTCCCCCATATTGTCCTGAAGATGTAGTTAAAACGAGGTCACAGGGGCCACAGAGAAAGGAGGTGCATATTCAAGACTGTTAACTTCTCCCTGTAGGGCTCTCATGCAACCAAGTGCTCCTCACGCGACACACATGCAGCTGAATAAAGGAAGAGGGGGGGGTACAAGGGAACCCCTGCTTTACAAAAGCCGGGACACTTTATGAATCACACCGACAGCTGGAGAATTCATCACCGTCCAGAGGAGCCCCATGTGTATTACACCTCCATTTATGGACCAAGAATATCTCCAGAAACAGAGACGGCTGCACAGAAAACCTGCAATTGTGCCATCTGATTATCATTTATGTAGTTACAGGTCTGGAGAAGTAAGAACTAATATGGTAGATGTCCCTGTTCTGATGTAGATGTGGACATTTTTAACATGTAAGGCAGCTGCGGCAGGATTCATTTCATCACTATGCTCCAGCTCCATGTTCTTCTGATAGTTTCTCCATGTTTCTGTTCTCCGACGTCCCGCCTGCCAACCAAACAATACAAGCAGCGAGGAATAACTTTCCACGCAGCACCCTCGAGGCAATTACTTCCCAAAGAGAACGAGGAGATGGAGGGGAGTTGGGAGATTTCCATATGCTCACGTTCAAAAACAATAAATATCATGGAAGCAAATCTTAAAGTTCAATGAGAGCGAGAGTTGAACCGTGATTTACTGCGTCCTCACCGCAAAACACAGGAAACAAGAGATGTCTGTGTTTCAAACGTGAATATATATTCTTGCTGATACAGTAGCCTACAGACTGTATAGTTTCAGATTTACATCTGAGCCCAAATTAATCATTTAAGAAGGAATGTACTAAACAGATACATAAAAAATGTAATATCTTGAATAGAAGTGAAAGGGTAAGCCAAAAAATGCTATGAAAGCATACAATTGCAACCAGGTGCATTTGATGTACTATATATTAACAGCAGTACTAAACGTTATGCTAATTAGGAAGTCCTAAAACCCTGAAGTTTCCTCGCAAAGAAGTCAATTGTTTTTTTAAAACAGTTTTTAGTTAGATGCTTGATATAAAGTCAGTTCACAAGCTGAAGAGATTATCAGAGTTGTGTTCTACGGCATAAAATACGTCAGGAAATAGCCCACTGATGAATGTCTAAAGTTTCTATGTGTCCTAAGAAAATGGGGGATTGCTAACAAGTGACTGAACGACACCTAATATACAGATTTCGATTTGAGATATAATACCCTTAAAGGTGGGGTAGGTAAGTTTGAGAAACCGGCTCGAGATCGCTAGAATTTGAAAATACACAACCGGAGAAAATCTGCCACTTCCGCACACAAACGCGCACATGACCAATGAGGGCACGAGATAAGTTTGTGCACAGATGGAAGGCTGACAGGCAGGTAGGCCATCCAGTTATTTTAGCCGGGCCGGCTCAAATGATTGGTCGTGCTTTTTACAGTACTACGGCTTCCACAGATGACATTATTTTATGGATTTTTTGTCAAAGCACTTCAGATATTCATTGCTATCGGGATGTTAAGAGCATTCCATGGAATATAACAAAAAGTGTATCTCGAGCCGGTTTCTCAAACTTACCTACCCCACCTTTAAGGTTCAAATTTGACCTTTGAATTCACACTTTTCAGGTTGTTTCTTGAGTTCAAGTGCACAGCAACTCTGCCAAGTTGTCCTAAGTAGGTAGGGCGGTGGTGGCGAAGTCCATAGGGACTTGGCTTGGCAACTGGAAGGTCACCAGTTCAAGTCCCGGAAAGACCAAGTGCTACCGAGGTGTCCCTGAGCAAGGCACCGTTCCCTACGCTGCTCCCCGGGCGCCGTACATAATGGCAGCCCACTGCTCCTAACACTAGGATGGGTCAAATGCAGAGAAACCCTTTTGTTACATAGTACCTGTACTACGTAATGACAATAAGTTCAATCTTCAATCTTCTTCAAAATGAGGTCACAGGGGCTTGAGAGAAAGGAGGTGCATATTCAGGACTATTAACTTCTCCCTGTAGGGCTCTCATGCAACTGAGGAGCACTTCTCGGTTGCATGAGAGCCCTACAGGGAGAAGTTATCCCAGAAACACTGCTTTTTAACGTGATTCATTTGGTGCTTTCCCAGGAGCTATTGTTTTCTATTGTTCTGATTGAGAGACCCATATTGTTAGAAAATGACATGTTGTGTGGTTGATTTGAACTTCTCCTGTAAAGACATTAAGTAGAACTGTTTTTTACTCTGTTGTCATGCCTTATCCTGTGGGGCTCCGCACAAAATAATTGACCACATATCCTACACCGTTAGATAAGATATCAACTCATCACTATGCCAATGATGGAGAAAAACAAACGCAATTTTAAGGAGGTTTTCCGTTTTAGTGTGTTATATACTGTATGTTTTAGTGCATGTAAATGGTCTGCAAAGACTAAAATCCCTGTGTGAGCGGTTGACCAATCCCAACAGAGCCGGCCAGCTCAGAGCAGACTGGGCTCTGGTTTCAGACAGAGGGTGAAAAGAGGTGCTGCAGCACAGGCAGTATGAGAAAAATAAAGAGCTTTTTGAACATTAAAGCATGGAGACACGTCAGAGTAGAGACACTAAATACTAATATGAACCTGTAAGTGAGTATAATATGTCCTCTTTAAAAGGAGTGTGGGAATGTACTGTATTAATTACGATCCTAACAAGGATAAAAGTACAAATGTGTCTGTGTGTTTGGGGAAAAAAGAGAAAGAGTGTAACAAAGCCTCAGTGTTTTTCTCTCGGATCATAACCGCCCTCTTGTCTGCTGTTCTCTCTCCTCTACAGTCCACCGCCTGTTTATCCTTCGCTCTTCCGCCCTTCTTCTTCTGCTTTCATCACTCTGAGACGTGAGTTGTTACACGGCTGCATACTTATCTCTCCCACACAGGAAAGAGAGAGGCAGTGAGTGTATTGATTTAAAACATAATGATACTTTGGGGAAGCCAAAGCAGGACGAGTGTGTGTGTGTGTGAGTGAGGTTTTTCCAAAAGATGCAGCAGGTCAGCATTAAAAAGTTATTTCGGTTGCATGTTAGGGGGAGAGTGTGTGTGCTAATACGGCGTGACAGGATCTGTGCAGTTTCCGTGAGGACAAAATGTGACAATGCCGATGATGAGCAGCAGCAGGGGGTGCTGGGTAATGAGGTTGTTGACATGGCGATGATCAGAGACCTAAGTCTTGTGAACTTCAGTTATGTCGGGATGAGCCGGGTCAGCCGTAGATCTGACCTCACGAGATATAAACACTCAGATACACAACACTGCAGGAGCAATGGAGTCCATGAAATATGTCATGATTCATCTCCAGAAAGTGAGTTCACATTTTTTTTATTAAAGTATTCTTAAACCTGATAAAATATCAATCATTTTGAAATACGTTGGTTTTCTGATTTGGGGTCACTTTTGTATGAATTTGGCACATTTTATTGAACAGTTAAGTTTCCAATTGTGACAAGAAAACATTCAACAACAACAACAACTGTGTGTCTTTTATCTCTTTACACTTGTATATACTATTCTAATAGTTAAGGCGATCGGTTATATAAAACTGACTGAGGATAGCATTACAAATATACTTTAAACTTGCAATGAGATAAATACCTCCACGAGTACTACAGAACTTCAGTTGTATCATTCATTTGCGTGCGTGTGCGTGGGTGCGTGTGCGTGTGTGTGTGTGTGTGTGTGTGTGTGTGTGTGTGTGTGTGTCTGTGTGTGTGTGTGTGTGTGCGTGTGTGCGTGTGCGTGCGGCCAGGTGGCGGTCCAGCATCATGCATATGGTCCTTTGTCAGGCCAGATTAGCTTATTGTTTCCCTCGGAGCTGTTTCCAATCGCAGTAATGGACTGCTGCTTAATCGGATTGAACTTTCAGAACTACTTATCTGCCACCGCCTGGACACACCCCCCCTCTGAAACCGATACCCTCCAAACAAGCACCATGGGGTGTGTGAGTGTGAGTGTGTGTGAGTGTGAGTGTGTGTGAGAGTGTGTTCATTCAAGAGCTTTATTCATATTTAAAGTTTCTATGGAAGTCTTTGTGGATATATAATGTGTGGTGTTGCTATGGAGCCCATTAAGCTACAGGTCAATACAGATATTTTGTCAGTAAATCCAATGAATAATCGTGATCAATTATCTCTATATGTATTGTAATTATCATGTTGGCTATGATCTGTTCTGAACAGCGAATATGAACTGCTACCATCTAATCGGAGATACAGGGTCCGGCGATTCAATAAAGTCAGACTGAAGCATCCTTTGTGCTCCAGTCTGTCCTCACAGTAGACACAGAGCTGAATCCAGATCAAAGGCACGCTGAAGGCTCTTTGAGCAGCTTTTCTCTCAGTGATCGTGATGTTATGTTAAATGCTTGTTGTTTGTTTTCCATGTATTGTGTCTTGATATTTGTCTGTTGAAGTTACACATGGAGCTGCTGTGATGCAAGTCACATTTCAGACTTGATCTGACCATTAAAGTATTATCGTATCGTATCGTATCGGTCTAGCAGCTTTAGCCCCAACAGGAAGCTCTCTCTCACCTGCAGTAAGATCTTGTTCCCATCGTAGTCCTCAGTCTGCCAGCGCACCTCACTGATGGGGCTGCAGGGTTGAGGCAGCAGGGGAACCAGCGTCCCCACATCCCGGACCCTCACCTCCATCACAGCTGACTCCATCACCAGCGGACTCTGACCTCGCGGCAGCCTCTTGAACGACAGCTGGATCTCCATATCGGGGTTGGAGTATACCACGAAGAGGCAGAAGTCCTCCTTCTTCTGCGACACCCTGCGCTGAAGCAGCAGCTTGTAGAGCCGCACCATGTCCACGTAGTTCTCATGCCGGCAGTAAACTGTGAATCGCACTATTTCCTTCCCGTAGTGGACCTGACGAACGGCCCACAGCGGCGTTCCAGACGACAGAGTGAAGAAGTCCTGACTGCACGGCGTCAGAGGTAACATCCGGCGGCCATTGCTGACTTTCTCCGTGTGGTGGTATCTCCACGGAGGTCTCTGCAGAGCGCGGTGCAGACTCAGGATCTGCTCCTCGCCACCGTACGCCTCCTGGAGGAAGACGATGACCGCCATGGACGGTTGGCTGGGTGCCATTGGGCCGTTCTGATGGTTCTGATGGTGCTTCGGCCGGGAGACGGAGGCCCGCTCTGAGACCCTGAAGAGCTGCAGCTCGGGGTGAACCCACGCCAGCAGGCCATCAGCCGCGCGCTGCAGGAACCGGCCCTGACCCGGGTCGGCGATGAGGTGGACGCTGACGAGGAAGGGGTCCTGGAACTCGCCCATGGAGAACTCGCCTCCACAGACAACAGCATCGAGACAAGAGAGAGAGAGCAAGGGGAGGAGAAATGGGACGAGAGAAGAGAGAAGAGATAACATTATTATTATTTATTTGTTGTTTTGTTTGTCTGACTGTTTTTTGTTTACTTGTTTGCGCTATATAAATCTAAGTTATTATTATTATTGTTATTATTAACATTATAATCAGCTTGTAGAATTTGAGAAAACAAATGATACATGGACACAAGCATACAAATAAATCATGTCACCTGTAACCGACAACATACATTGGGTTACATTGATGTGTAGTTTAAGGTGTAGGTGACACGAACAAACGAACATTGTTCAAACATTTTGAATTCTTCAGAATATGAGGGTAAACATGTTGAATGGGTGTGTGGTATATTTGTATGAATGCACACACATGTCCACTACACACAACACAAGCCAAACACTCTATGATTCCATGAATGCAACTGCTAGGGGGAGGATGTGGAATAGTCCAAGTAGCAGCAACAATAGGGGGTTCCATACATTCATTAATAGTGTTTTAAAAATATTTATTTCTGCAATATCTTAGCATGGCACCTACAGAACGGTTGAGGTTCGACTACAAGTGAACTTTTGGGGACAGCAGTATCTCAGTCTGCTGAGGGTCGCTGGTTCAAGTCCCCAAACGGACCAAGTGTTTGCCTTCTGGGCACAACTTAGGTGCCCTTTAAAAGCCACTGGACACCTACACTGCTGCCTGCTTTATTAGCACCCACTGGTCCTAACATTAGGAGGGGTTAAGTGCAGTGTCTAAGTTTCGATGTGCTGTGCATGTGTGCCGATAAAAACCAATACAAATAAAGAGATTGTGATGAAATAAATCCAAAATGAACGTTATTCCTTGGGATACCGGGCTGTCATTTCAATTTGTTAACCTCTTTGTTCAAGTTCTTAGATCCCTCTCTCCCTTCCTTCTCCATTTCACTCATCCACATCTAACTCCATCTTTCTCCCATTTTCTATGTTTACCTTTCTCCCCCCTCTCTCCCACTAACCCCCCCCCCCCCCTCTCCTCTCCAGCAGACCCATGTGGAGCAGGACTTTGAGGCTCATTAGTGCCATTAGGAGGTCATTACTGAAGCCCGGAGGAATGTTCCAGACCCACAGCAGGAGCGATGCATTCAGGTGCGCCCTCCCCCTGAACCGCTGACCTGGAAAAACTCCCTGGCACAGGTAGCGCAAAAACCCAACTGAAAAGTTCCCAAAGTCATATTTACCCGGTGTTTTCATTCTTACTTCTACACACCGTATCAGCCCATCTCCATGTTCTCTGGTTTTCCAGAGGTCTTTATCTGCCTCCTCGGGGGACTTGTCCCATTTCGCCTGCGCTGTGAGGCTGTTTTTAGAGAAGGACACACAGTCTTCTTGTCCCTGGCACAGCGACTATTCGGCTGCTGCCAGAATCCATGAAACGGAGAGGCCAAACTGTCTCATGAGTCCCGCTGGCCTTTTAGCAAAAGGACAGTTTCTACGTGACCAAAGAAGTGACATTTCCTAAATGTTAGGATCACGTTACGAGGAAATGTTGCTTAAAGGTGAGAAGACAGGGGTCATGTTTCTGTACACCTGTGATGTCAGAAAGGGGATTTTAAGCAACCAGTCTTGTGAAGATTTATTTGACATTTTGACAAACAGTTTGGATATACATATGTATGCAATACTTTCATATAGGTATTCGGTTTTAAGAGGAGTGTTCTTCAGGGACTACAGGTGGTAATCAGCTAGTAGCTACATCTTGTACAAACCTTCAGTCTTTATTTATTTCTATAATTTTTGGGGAAGACGAATCTATAAAAAAGTCATTCCAACATGAAGTTGAATTACATTCTTGTCAACATGTTCTGCCTACAGGTGAGACCATTGAGAGTGTACAGTGGGACTTGAACCTCTTGCATAACCTTACTTCCGATGGGCAAAAATAATCCCTGTGTGTTACACTTGAACGTCAATTACTGTATTACAAATTCTATAACCTAAAATTGTTAGAACCTAGCTAAACCTGAGGAAATTCAATAAGCTGATAAAGGATTCACATTCTATAAAAAAAGCCATTAAACCCTACAACACAAAGTGTCCTTGTGTGGCCTGAAGAGATACGCTAATACGGCAGGATCAAGAACGATCCACTGCAGGTTTAAGCAGGATGCCAAGACACACACACACACACACACACACACACACACACACACACACACACACACACACACACACACACACACACACACACACACACACACACACCAACACACACACAACAACACACACACACACACACACACACACACACACACACTACACACACACACACACACACACACACACACACACACACAACCCACACACACACACACACACACACACACACACACACACACACACACACACACACACACACACAACACACACACACACTTCATTAACAGCCAGGTGATCCCATTAGATTGAAGGCCTGTCTCCCTGGCCAAACACAGGGATGATGGAGAACTTTAAGGTGTGTAACACATTGTACGGCCACACGGACGCCCTGATTTCTCGACTGTAACTCCAATACCATTCTTATTACAGTGTCCTTTTTCAGGAGTTAGAAACACGAAAAAGGTCCAACAGGAATAGAGACTTTACTGACAATCAGCTGATAGTTAGAACAATAGCGCTTGCTTTGGTTTGAAAACATATAATAATCCTTTATCCAACATCTCAGTTTCTTGCATTTCTGACTATAATTTCCGACGTTCCTTTTTACCTCAGCCAATACAACAGGTTTTGGCTCGGTTTGTTTGTCAGCAGGATTATGAAAAAAGTACTGGTCCGATGTGGAGGCGTGTGGCGCAGTGAATTGTGCGTAGGTGTTCAGATCGGGGGGTCACAGGTTCAAACCCCACTGCAGTCAGCATGTTGTTGTGTCCCTGAGACACTTCACCCCAAATTGCTCCTGTGGGGATTGCCCACAGTAAGGCAAGGCAAGGCAAGGCAAGTTTATTTATATAGCACCTTTCAACACAAGGCAATTCAAAGTGCTTTACAAAAATGGAAGACATTAAGAGTCTATTGAGTATGTAAGTCGCTTTGGATAAAAGCGTCTAACAAGTATCATGTAATGTAATGTAATGTAATGTTCATGAAAAAGGGTGAAAAAGTATTCAATTATGTCACTATAAACCTTGAAAGACTCTTGTCTGAATTCTATTATTTGGACTCCTTGTGGTTTATGTGAACTGTTTTCTGTACTTTTTTTTGGTTTGCCTAAATCAAGTCTTAGAGACCAGTTTATTAGCCACCATATCTAATGCAGTGTAATACAATTCTGGAATAAATGCTGCCATTTCTAAACGCTACTGTTTTAAAGAATGTTTCTTAACTTTACGGTTAGTTACTCCGTCAGACGTCTTTAGACCTTTGTAAAACGTTGTTTGGTTGTAGTTGACCTATCACAGTTGATAAACCATCCAATAATCATTGAAAAGAACAAGTAACACACAAACTTGCAGATATAAGTGATGCCGCTTTGATCAATGACCCACGTACAGAAGAACGCTGAGGTGTTTACTGTAAATGATCTAATTTCAGTGAATTCACATATGTCACAAATACAACAGAAAACTCGCTCAGCAGTGAAAACATACACCAGGTACTGCAGAGTTGCATTTTTCACAACACTTTCCAGAAGATACAACTCAATCCCTTGTATATTCAAGCGTGTGCTTTCCTCCAGCAATACGATTTAATGGGGAGCTGGCACAGAGACGAATAAATTAGGGATTAAGTCACCCCAATCCTGATGGACTGAAGGGGGTTTGTGAGTAAAGCTCTTAATCCACTCCAGTCTTCAAGCTGAAGCTGATGTTCTGACTCGACTGACACACTGCGCACAAACATCCTCTACACACACAACATGTATTTGTAGAGAGGCGTGTCTTCTTCTCTTTCTCACAGACTTCTACCTTCGCTGTGTGTTCGAGTGGTAACCGGCAACACATGTACGCACAGATGATGACGTGAGATAAAACAACACGCCTTCTGCTGGCCCCTGCACATATGAGAGTGATTAGCAGTGTGTGTGTGTGTGTGTGTGTGTGTGTGTGTGTGTGTGTGTGTGTGTGTGTGTGTGTGTGTGTGTGTGTGTGTGTGTGTGTGTGTGTGTAGTAGTGCAGTCACAGCTCAACTAGCTTGGCCCTCAGTATAAGTCGAAACAACTGAAGGAGGAAATTTAAGATGGGGGCCTCTTTTTGTCGTCTGGTTAAAAAAAAAAGGTTGAATGAAGGTTTCACTGCAGCCAAGGAAATTAAAATGTTAGTCCTAACTATAATATTAGATCTTAAAGGTAGGGTAGGTAAGTTTGAGAAACCGGCTGGAGATACACTTTTTGTTATATTCCATGGAATGCTCTTAACATCCCGATAGCAATGAATATCTTAAGTGCTTTGACAAAAAATCCATAAAAAAATGTCATCTGTGGAAGCTGTAGTACTGTAAAAAGCACGACCAATCATCTGAGCCGGCCCGGCTAAAATAACTGGATGGCCTACCTGCCTGTCAGCCTTCCATCTGTGCACAAACTTATCTCGTGCCCTCATTGGTCGTGTGCGCGTTCGTGTGTGTTGGAGGAGGGGCTCTGTAAGGAAGTAGCAGATTTTCTCCGGTTGTGTATTTTCAAATTCTAGCGATCTCGAGCCGGTTTCTCAAACTTACCTACCCTACCTTTAAGAGTCCAGTAAAACTTTTCATTATTTCCAAATGTCCAATAGAGAAGTTTTACTCTATAATTAAAGTGTGCCAAGTTACTTTTTCTAGTACCGAAATATCATCACCTTATAAGTGTGTATGGCAAACTTGTTGCTTATAGACCTAACCAAGTAATGGAGCGACATTATCATTTATTTGTCGTGTTTCAGGCCACCTGATTAATGAAAATCCAATATTCTCTGACTTTTGGCTGAATGAGGAAACAGTTGAATGGAGAACTACT